GAGTACGTGGAGTTCCGAGAACGACCGAGCAGAGTCGGGAGCTTAACTCTGGTGCTTTGCCATGAAGCTGTCTCCACCATGATAGCTTGATAAGCTGAAAGCTGTGTCACTGATCGTGTCCGCGTGTTTATAGCAGTTCATCGACGAATGTAAAAAAAGTGAATTTGAAGCTGTTCTGATTAGTATTGGTAAATAAAGCGTGTTTCGATACTTCATCAAGAGTCGTCGTTATTCACTCCAAATCTACGAACCCCGTACGAACGTGAAGGTAGAAAATAACGTAACAATTGGTGTCAGAAAAGAAAAACGCAACAATACATTTATACAGATTCTTTCATTATTTAATTTCTTCAAATTTAATGCAGGACTCTAACATTTGGTGACAATAGTTCGAAAAGTGAAACGGACATTTATGGTGAACCAACGCAAAATCGCAAAACGAAAACAATAGTCCTTTAGGGATAATTCCCCTTTGGACTAATTTATATATATATATATATATATATAGTAGAGTGTAACATTCAATGAAAATTATATTTAGGTAACCTTTTAAGGAATTATATAATAATATCATTTATTATAGGTCTTAAGAAAATCATATTTTGGAGAGAGAATGATGTTCTCATGTTCGAATAGTCTGGGAAATTTTAAATCTTGATGATGCTGAAGAAGGTGAAATTTATCGCTTCTGCATTGCTATAAAAATAATTTAATGATTAAATGAGTTTAATTTTATTAATAATTAGTCTAAAACAGTCATTATGGGAAATAATTGTATAAGTCCTTTTAAACATATTTTAGAGTAAGTTTACTAAAGGTAATATATTTTGAATTAGGTCTCTAAAATCATGAGACACATATGTGGGTCATAGGACAAAATTAAGAAATTTCGCTTTACAACAATTTATTTATAATTTTCTTGAAGAGTGTTTAGAAATATATGCATAGTAGACAAAACGTAGCCTTTATTTATTTATCTATAACAATTCTTCGTTTGAATTTTATATATATATATATAAATGCCGTTCTTATGCCATAAGCAAAAATTCTTACTTTTCATTCATGACTGCAACAGGCTCCGACATAGAATGTATACTCAACATCTACAAATTAAAATACCATTCCAGATTTTTTTGGAAACATTGATAGAATTCTATTGAAATTTATATTTGCAAATTACATATAACCACAGTAACATAAAATTTCACTTATCTGAACATCGAGAATAAGCCGAGCGTAAATTTTCTAAACTTGAGAAGTCTTTTGTAATTTAAATACCGCAATAAATTTCTGTTAAACATAGGAGTCCTCATTTTCTAAAATGCAGCAAATTGAGAAACATACCTAATAACAGCAGAATTTCATTTCATTCAAATTAGAACTAAATTTCTTAATTCAATAGAATCGCAAAAAATTGGCTGCACTAAAAACAAAATGTGTGGAATATCATACGATGTTTTATTCATGCGATGCACATTTCTTTCTACTATAGTTGTTTCCAGACTTATTCTCGTAAAATGTGAGAGGCACAACAGGCGTATTTAAATCGTTTCTAAGTGAATTTAACTCTCTAATTGCAAAATATTTTAAAACAGGAAAGATTTCTTTATAGTTTGTCTTCAATGTATGCTGGCTCCTTCAGTATTCAGTTCCTTAGCGACAGTACTCGAAACTACTCAAGGGAAATTAGTTAGCAAATTAGCATATTCTTTAGAAATAATTCAGTAAATGCACCGAACTTAATCCGACTAAATTGACTGAATATTAGTTGGGACGCAGTTCTTTTTCCAGTTTATAGCAAAAGAAAGGAGAGCATGGAAAAATACTTATATATATATATATATATTTGATATATCATTTATATTTCGAAGTTCTACTAATGTGAAGAAAAAAAGAGAAGATGGAACCATTTCGATGCCTGTCTGTTTTGACGGTGGCCAGTGGTTACTCTCCAGGTTTGGGGGGCTTTTAGCACCAATAGGTATAGCAAATTCATAAACCACAACCAAAACTGCGTAATAAAAATTGTCAAAATAAAATTACTGCATTTTTCCAAGAACGGTTTATTTTAACCTCCATTCGAATTTGCGAAAAAGGGAATGAAATGAAGTTATGTATCACCACGAAAACCACATTGTTATAAAAAATGTGAAAAACTGCCAGAAAAAGAATGGTCTTCGCACTGGCAACTGGTTCCCTGCTTCATAAAGCCCATTCCTGACAGCGACAAGCTGTTGCTGCGGATTTATAGCTACCTTAAAATTAAATTAAAACTTTTATTAAGTAGAAATTTGTATTTTGGTTCCTTTAAATTTCTATTAAAATTCCATTAGTCAAAAGTCTATATATTATATATATATTAGTAAAGATATTAAAGTGAGAAATTTAGAACCTATTTTGCACAAAGACAAAAAATTGAAATTCATAAGTAATAAATTAAAAAAATCTTATAATGTATAAAAAATTTAATAAATGTTAAAACTAAAATACTTCAAACAAGTAAAACCCTAATTAAAAAAATTAATGACCAAAAAGAATGTAATAGAAGAGTAATTCAACCGACCTTCAATGCCACTTCGTCAGGAGGAGGAACATTGAAATCGATTAAAATCTCTCTTCTGTAAAAAATCCTTGCTTGCTTTGGGAAGAGACCAGAATTTAATTACATCACAATTAAAATACATTGGAATGGTTCATCAGCTAATTCTGGATGCAAAAAAGCAAGGAAATTTGATGGAAGAGAGATTTTAATCGATTGGTTCTAAATTTCTTACTTTATGTCTTTACTTATAATTATTCAGGAGCTTAATGCGCAAAACTACTAGGCATGATTAGATTATGTTATTTTCAAAACTTTTTTGTGGAGGGGGGCGGAATTACGACTTGTTTTCGTTGACTTTTTAGTTTTTCATAAAACGGACCGTCCTTCGACAGATTTTGCCAAGTTGAGAAATTTTGTTTTAAAAATCCTTCTGTTAGCAAATTTATGATATTTCTTTTATAGCTACGTATAAAGAATGACCGTAATAATCAAAAGAAATACTTATACTGCAATATAATATAACATTTACACATATATACACGAAACATCTTTGATCACTGTATGGGTCAGGCGATGTATCTCTGTATACAAGAGCAAACAATTCCTTTAATTCTAAGGTGTTAAACTATCGATATATACTCTTTTAGATTAAGAATTTTACTATAACGTAATTCAATCTTATGAAAAGCATTCATTTTGAAGCGCCTGAATTTGTCAGAAGTCCTCTTCAACACCTTGTTTTCGACAATAGACTAAATTTCTTCTTTGAACTTTCCTCACTTTGGCTTCATAAAAGCTTTGCACTGATTCCTTTAATTCTTCCTCTGGGAAAGCAACTTACATTTTCTGAAAGCATCTGTAGTTCTTGCAGATGTTGTTCTGACGAAGAAGATGCATCTGGTATTCGTCCAAAGAGTAGATTCACCAAGCAGACAAAGATCTCATCTAAAAATCGGTAGTAAAAGAGTGAGCTGTCTCGTGAAGAAGGATCTTGTGTACTGGGGAAGCAAACATAACTTTTGATTTCAATCTTTCTGAATCCAGGGAATAAAGAGGATAATCAAGGATCATGCAATTCATTTTTTACTATGCCATCGTTATATTGATTTTCTCTCTTCTATGTAAAGAATGAAGATTCTGAAGAGTTCTTTTTTATTTTTACATGGAAAGAAATTGAGAGTCCATAAAAAATGCCGTAAGTGATATTCATACACTAAATAAGAAGAAGAATTTAGAGAAATCAAGTTTTGCATAAAAAATTAGGCGACGGTTCTAAGTTCTTCAGTTAGAAACATATTTAGTGCTAATCGTTCTGATTCCAGCTGTGAAGCAGATAATCAAGTACCGTACAATAAAACTTTTCAATCATGCTTTCTTTAAATTTATATAATAGAGCTCTCTAAATGTTCTTTTTAATATGAGATAGTTTTCATAATCCTTTGAAAACGTTAGAAGTGAAGTTTATCCCCTAAATGAAAAAGGTAATTCTAAATAAGAAAATCCAGATCTGCACAAGAAATTTAGCAGTACTGTAGTACCTTGAGATATGGCTTGAGATTTCCTCGCTGCTGAGTTTAACCTAAAATTATACGGCATGAAATTAAAATCTTTTCTATAACAATAGTGGCTGTAACTTAACATTATTTAAACTAGTAAATCCACGCAAAGCTGAAACTGAACTGGGTGTTGACAGGCAAAGCTCAACTAATACTACAATTACAGTGCCAACGTCTTGCGTCATGTCTGCTCTGATTAGCGGCTTCTTTTTACGTCCTGGAACACAGCTACTTAAACAAGAGTCTCAATTTATTAAATTACGAAGTTCTCAAGGCTTCTGAGAACTAAGACCTTCAGGATATCCTAAGTATATCCAGATCTTTGTGACTTGAAAGCACATCTTGAAGATATTCTGTGTTATAGAGGTCTGGACGAGAAAACTTAACAGCTGTCTGTTTTGCCAGACAATTTAAATTAAAAGAATATTAATAAAAATATGCGAATATTATTCTTTCTATATTTCAAGTGTTTTTAATATAAAAAAATCGTAATAAAAATTACTTTTTGAATCAAAGTATTAGCGTTTATTTCGGGGAGGGGGACCAAATGAAAATTTCGCCCTAATTTCAAAGTGAACACTGCAGGATAGTCACGACCTAGAAGATGGGCGATATTTGTTTTTCCGGTAATGACAAACTGTTACAAGTTTTATTTCTGCACATATTTCATAGCCCAGAATGTAAAAATACTTCGAGTCATTTGTTCCCAAAACTAGAAGTAGAATTCGCAATTTTGTGTTACTCAGCTGCTTATTGAAAAGAAAGCATGTGACCCCAGCTTTTGGCCGAAACTCTACCCAAATTGTTTTAGCTGAACAACTATTGCTTTACTGTGTTAGTTTTGATTAAGCATGCACAAAAGTGTAGGAGGAAACATTTTATGAATTTGAATATAATGATACCTTTTTGTTTTGACCCGTAAGCGGCCTTTGCTGGTGATCATTTTGCCATCTTTGTACCACTCGACCCACGGAATTGGATTTCCTGTTAGGTGGCAGTTCAATCGAACTTTGCTTCCTTCCTCCACCCGTAACTTCTCTAGACCCGTAACGCTGGGGGGCTTAGCTGAAATAAGAACACAAATAAAGATTACCATAATGAAAACATAAACTAACCTAAAATTAAATAGTGCATAGGGATATACATATATAGAGGAAGCATTCATTTAGAGATGGATAGGTAAATATGATAAAAATATGCATGTCCTTTTCGACTTTCCTGAGATTACATTTTAATAAATTCATAAGTTGAAAGTAAACAGTAAAAGGAAAATATCGTAAGCTGAAAATGTGTCAGCGCATATAATGTAACAAGTTTTGTACGTAATTTAGCCTGTGTTAAATATACTCACAACACTTACTGTACTATATAGTAGGACAAAAGTTTGGTAAATTTATAAAGTAACTAGGAATAACTAAAGTGTTATCCCAATTTATCACATTACACACAAAGGGTTTAAGTCTAATTTTCCAGCTCATATAAACATATAATTTAAGTACTTTTGCATTGCTAAAAACAATGTTCCGCATTTCGTAAAATGCAACGAGAAATGGGTTTTTAAATTTCAAACGCATGCAGGTTGTGTGTCAATAACAAACTTTAATAATTAATTTCTCTGTCTTTCTCTCTCTCTCTCTGTATATATAAAAACCTTCTCTTCTAGGGAAGTCCATAATTCAGCAGAAATACGAATTTCTGTGATTAAAATTAAAGTTAATTCTCACATCACACAAAGTTTAATAACTAATTCTACAATATTCTGAATAGAACTAAATAAAAGCTCTATTCCCATAAAAAGCCTTTATGCCTTAATAAAAGACTTTATGCCACCTTATTTGGTATGGTTAGAGACGCCGGCTGCCATATCATTGAGCCTGCACTCTAATCCCCGAGAAGGCAAGGAGATTTGTAAATATAAAGTGGCTTTGTTGCATGGGGACACTTAAAATGCTATCGAAACGAAAGTCCCTCGACAAGTTATTTTTTAGGAAAGAGGGATAAGAGACAGTTGGATCCATCCCCCGTGCTGTTTCCCACCAGAACAGAGACAGAATTTGTCTACAAAAATACCCTAAAACTATGATAGTCTCACCAGTTCATATTAGAGCCGAATTACTCAGTTAAGATTTTACTATACTCTAAACTTACGGTTGAGCAAAATTTTCTGAAGTTGGCTAGCGGGTCACGATGGTATAGCTTGAAGAGCAAGTGTTCTCACAGAGATCATGGCTTCAGCGATGCCAAAGCCTCTATTTAGAATGCATATCAAGTGAAGTGTACTTTTTGAAGGATTAGGAGCTCCTCCATTATCGTTGCAATTGATTCATCGATAGGGAAGGAGGAATGCGATGGGCACACACTGTTACAATGCGATTAGATCAGTTACTAAAGATCAAATATTGTAATTACATAATAAAGTAGAAGATTTTCGGTGCTAGTTAAAAGCTCTGGATAATTCAGTTGGCAGAACACCTGCTCACAAAGTGCGGGTCGTGCCTTGCACTTGACTTACAGCTGTGGTATTTACGATATAAACTAAGTGTTAAAGTTTTACATACACATAATATAAATGAAATATTTCGAAAATTGGAAAAATGGTACTTTCGATCGACTACAACGGCTTTAATTTCGAAGTCAAACAACAAAAATCAGCGTTATATTTTCAAATTTTCACAGGACTAGTTTCGATGGTTTTACCGAACCATCATCCTCAGCTTCAAAAGCGCAAATAAACGAGATAAGATGTAATGATTAGATAAGATAAGAAAGTCTGGACAGGAGATAAGCTACTGTCGCCATCTGTTGATGAAACCAGAACTAAAACATAATTTCTTTAAAGGCTGAAGGCAAAGATAGTTTGGAATTAGGGTCGTTAACTAGAACAGAAATATTTTTTGAATGTGAAATACCTCTAGAAAATCCAATTCACCAATGGAAGATGTTTTTTGAAAAATTTTTTCAGCAGAAAATTTGAAAGTGTGATTTTCGGACCAACAATGCTGGGCAACAGAAGACATCTGTGTTTCCTTTTTCCTAACATATACCTCATATTCCTTAACGCGAAATTTTAAGGCTCTCTTAGTTTGGCCAATGCAAATTAAACCACATTGGCAAAGAATCCTGCAAATACCCCAGGAATTCATATCCAGAATGGTGTCCTTGAGTATGGAACTCGGAATTTTATTGATGGAGAATAAAAAACATTTTCCATTATTGAACTGGATTTTCTAGAGGCATTTCACATTCAAAAAAATCTTTTTGTTATAGTTAACGACCCTAATTCCAATCCATCTGGGCCTTCAGCCTTTGAAGAAATTATGTTTTAGTTCTGGTTTCATCAGCAGATGGCGCCAGTAGCTTATCTCCTGTCCAGGCTTTCTTATCTTATCTAATCATTATATCTTATCTCGTTTATTTGTGCGTTTGCAGCTGAGGATGATGGTTCGGTAAAACCATCGAAACTAGTCCTGTGAAAATTTGAAAATATAACGCTGATTTTTGTTGTTTGACTTCTAAATTAATATTTGTTCAGCGTGTTATTGTATCTTAATAACGGCTTTGGTTATAAATCGGAATTCTCGAAGCAGTAAATCGTTATAAAGCAGGGATATGACGGTACTCATTTCTTTTTCCGAACAAAAGAATATTTTTGAGTTAGTGTCATTTGAAGAATATGCGAAAACAAATACAAAGTTAGCTGTTTAATGAAGAACAGCATTTAGTTCTCTGAAACTACCGCTGGTAAGTTATCACGTTTGTGTCAGTGACCTTAGTTTACCATATAATTCTGTACTTATATAAAAACTGTTGCTGGAAATATTCCAGTAAACTGTCAGGAAGAATTAGGAAGGAACATTAAGTTGATGGAAAAAAAATAAAATGTTAATAATATTATGAAGCTGAATGTAAACATCAGAATACATAGTAACTAAAGTAACTAAAATTATTAGCTGTAACTAAATGTATATAATCAGTAAAAGTTTTAATCTCATAAAATTATTATAATTCCTGGTTTGGAGAAATATTAAGTTATGTATTACTTCTTCCTATTTACGAGATAATTTTGTATGAAAAGTTGGCATCTGTTTCTCATCTGAGGTAGTATATTTTGACTCGAAGGATTAACAAGACTTAGCAGCAAAAGAAAAATGTCAAGAAAAACTTTGTAATTACGTAATACGTAGAAAAGATTCCAACATGCACAGACTCTAAATCAGACATTGGCCAGAGTCCATACGCTCCATAAATGACATTTTTTAGAGTTCGTTGGAGGGGGTTTTACATTTTAGAACTGCTGCACTAAATTATTTCTCTCTTTCTATTTTATTTTATTTAATTCTTTAAGGAAATGAAAGGAAACTTTGAAAGTAACAAAATATGAAATGCAACTACACGAAATACGTCGTTTAATTATTTTCCCTCTTTTTAAAGTTCATTAAATATCCCAGTTAGGATCCCCACACAACAGCGTGAGCGTATGCGCTAAACGGTTATTAGCGATTTATTAATACAAGTTAGTGAAAGTTGTACAGTTTAATTGTGCTTGTAATAATTTATATCATGGGCTTAAATAGCTACGCGCTTTCTTGTCGAATCCTAGAAGGACATGGAAAGCCCATTCCATTATATTTTTTGTTAGAGACTTAGGTGGTAGCATTACTGACAATTACATTTTTTTAGAATTAGAATTTCCATTTTTTAATGATTGTTATGTCACAAAATCTCACAGGAATATATATAATTTAAATTAATAAAGTCGGATGCAAACTATGATTTAAGATCGTGAATCTAAATTGCATAGGAAATCAGCCTTTTTACTCAATCATATTTTGGCTGATTAATCGGTAATAGGTAGACTGAAATTTCAAAAAATAATTTTCTGCGATTTTCGTCACTAATATCATAAAAACAACTTCATTATGTTTTAAGCCTTTCCATCATATGCTGACATTTCCCATTACAAATGTATATTCTTCAAATGTTTGGCAGTAAATTCTCTGAACACTGGCAGTTCCACCTGGGTTCAATTTTAGGCGAATGGGCAGGCTTCCCGTAGAAAGTCTTCCATGAAGGCATTCATCCTCTTAGGCAGATAACCATAGTGTGCTTTGACGTAATCAAATAAACCAAACCAAATCAAACCATCAAAAGCTTGGCTTGCTGTATCGAAACCACATACTTCAATTATAAATATATATAACATTTAAATTTCACAACTTTATATCCCCCAAAAGATTTCTGTAATAGTATATGTTGTAATCTTTAAACTTTTAAAAATTTGTACGAAGTGCAGAAAGATAGATCTTAGAAACGACTCAGAAGTCATTAAGCATTTGTAAAATCTGCCAAACACCCACATATTTTGGACTGGTATTCTCACATTCATTAACTTTATGCTGCTGGCATGATTTCACAAATTCAGCGTTTTTATTGACAATACAGGCATTGTTGTTCAAGCCAATGATTTTGCATATAAACTGCATTTTACAAGTAAACTGATTTTGCATAAAGATGTCATCATTTTATTTCATGCCGTGCTTCATAAATTAATCATGAAAGCAAATCAAAATCCTTCCTTCCTTACGATAACTCAAGATAAAGATATCAACATTATTTAGTGTGGGTTTTCCAATTTAAAAGTCGATCTCCTAAAAGATACCGGCACCGTTATGTAGCAATATTTTTTTTGAAAGTTTTAAATGCTGTTTTCCTCTTAAGTCTCATTTCAAAACAAAAGAAAATTATAGTGGTAAACGTTCATTGTGTAGTTTAGATAGGTAAGTACAGGGATAATAAAAATAAATAAAGAAATAAAATTTGAAAGTATATACGCCGTTTTTTTAAAGTTTTGTGTGTTACCTTTATTTATTAAATATCATGTTCTTCTCTCTTAAACCATAAAATTTAATTCAGCAGCAATATTTTTAAAAAAAATTAGCCTCGCACATAAAATACCCGTGTTGACGATGCACGCGATGTTAATGTTAATAGAACGCTTTGAAATCGTTGAGTTGTAGGATCGTACACTCTTTCGTAACATAAACTCTGCTAGACCTACTAAGGAAGCTGGAGACTTCTTTCTTGTACAGGCGTAAAGAATACCAGCACAGA